CAGGAAGTTGAGGGGGTGGGGGTAGAATAGGGGGAAGAGGGAATCATAGGATCGAAGACAGATCAGGCACCAGAGTGACCTCGAGTGATCTAAAGGTATAACATCAATTGGCAAGCTAAGCAATAGTGGAGGGACCACCTCGAATGCCCATTCCTGATAATGAACTTGATGTCTATAACCATCCGGGAGCCTTCATCCTGTGACTGATGGAAGCAGAGGCAAACACACAACTAAGCACTGAACTGAACCCAAGGAACCCAGTGACAGATAGAGAGGAGTGATGAGCAAATTGGCAAAGAATGGGCTGGCAAAACCAGCAGAGACAGCTGATCTGAACAGGGGAGTGCTCTTGGACCCCAGACCGACAGTGGGGAGGCCAGCATGGGACTGATCTGGACCCCCCAAATGTGAGTGTCAGTGAGAAGGCCTGGGCAACCTATGGAGCCCTGAGCTGTGGATCAGTGTCTATCCCTGGTATACAAACTGTCTTCATGTGCCTATAGCACAAGGAGAGATGCTCTCTCAGCCTGGACTCTTAGGGGAGTGCCTTGACCCTACCAAGAGTAAAATGACAGACTCTAGATATCCCCTATGTGGAAGGATTTGGCAATAGGGTGGGAGGGAGGGGGGGAAGGGGAGTGCCGGAGGAGGGGAGGGAGAGGGAACTGGGATTGACATGTAAAACAAGCTATTTAAAATTAAAATAAAAAATGATAAAAAAAGACTGATAAACCCTTATCCAAATTAATTAAAAGGTGGAGAGAGAATATCCAAATTAACAAATTGGAAATGAGAAGGGAGATATAGCTGTAGACAGTGAGGAAATCCAGACAAATAAGAACATATTTTAAAAACCTGTATCCCAGTTAATCAAAAAGTCTAAAAGAAATGTATAATTTTCTTTTTGATACATACAACCTAACAAAGTTAAATCAAGATCAGATACGCAATTTAAACAGACCTATATGTCCTAGTGAAATAAAAGCAGTCATTAAAAGTCTCCCAGCCAGTCCATCCCACATGAGGGATGTACTCTCAGACTGGACTCTTGGGGGAGGGCCTAGGCCCTGTGCTGGATGAAATGACAGACTCTGGAGATCCTCCATGGAGGACCTCACCCTCCCTGGGGATTAGAGTGGGGATTGGGTGGGGGGTTGGGGAGCCTGGTTAGGGGCAGGGAAAGGGAGGAGGGGAAGGAGAGGGAGTTGGGATTGACATGTGAAACAAGCTTGTTCTAACTTAAATTTTAAAAAAAGTCTCCCAGTCAAAAAAAAAAAAAGAAAGAAGGAAGGAAAGAAAGAAAGAAAGAAAGAAAGAAAGAAAGAAAGAAAAAAGAAAGAAAGAAAAGGCCCAGGGCTAGATGATTTTAATGAAGAATTCTACCAGACTTTCAAAGAAGGATTATGACAATTCTCCTCAAATTATTACACAAATTAGAAAAAAGAGACCACTTCATTTTATGATGCTACACTTCCCCAATACCCAAACCACATAAAGACCTAACAAAGAATTGCAGACCAATTTTCTTTACACAGATGCAAAAATTCTCAATAAGATACTTGCAAACTAAATCCAAGAACACATCTAAAAGATCATCCACTGTGAACAAATAAGCTTCATCCCAGAAATGCAGCGATGGTTCAACATACATAAACCAATAAATGTAATCCACCATATAAACAAACTGAAAGACAAAAACCAGATGATCATCTCATTAGATGCAGAAAAGGCCTTTGACAAAATCCAACATCCCTTCATGATAAAACACCCTGGAAAGATTAGAGATACAAGGGAAATACCTCAACATACTAAAGGCAGTTTACAGAAAGCCATAGCCAGTATCAACTTAAATGGAGAGAAACTCATAGCAATTCCACTAAAATCAGGAACAAGACAAGGTTATCCACTCTCTCCATACCTATTCAATATAGTATTTCATGTGTTAGCTAGAGCAATAAGACAACTGATGGAGATCAAGGGGATATAAATTGGAAAGGAAGAAGTCAATGTATCTTTATTTGCAGATGATATGATGGAACATTATATGACAGAAAAATTACACTAAGAAACCTTTACAGCTGATAAACACTTTCAGTAAAGTAGCTGGATACAAAATTAACTCACAAAATTAAGAAGTTTTCCTATACACAAATGACAAATGGGCTCAGAAAGAAATCAGGAAAACAACACCCTTCACAATAGCCACAAATAATACAAAATACCTAGAGGTAACTCTAACTAAACACGTAAAAGACTTGAAAGACAAGAAAAATTAATAATAATAATAGTAAACAGAAGAGGTGGGCTGTTAGTAACTGTTATAGTATTTCATTTTAATGAGAAGTAAACTGTTTCTGATATGACCAATTGATACATTTTAATGTAACATTTTACTATTAAACATCAATGTAATCTGTTTCTACATATATTAAGTAAATTGTATATAATATTTATACTTATATAAATTATATATATATGTATCTCAAATGACAAATAAAAGGCTATCCCTTCACAAAGGTGGAACTGCTTTAAAAGTGACTTGCTTTATGGGTGTCAAAGGTTGGGTTTTGTAGAAGCAGATGCCAAGAAATGCCAAGATGGAATATGAGGTGTGAGGTGTTCAGAGATCAGTACAAGGAAGAAGAAACAGAGAATTCTAGAATGAGAGCTGTTTCTCATGCTGGGCTACATGAGGCTGAACTGTCTGGGCTTCTGTTCTCCTATCTTAGTCATTAGCTGTGACTGTGTGTAGAAACCATGGCACCAGAAGGTGGCTCGTGGTAGCTGAGACAGACTTTATGGGGCAAACAGCTGGAGCAGGCATAAACAGCTGAAGCGACAGCCCACATCTGGGCAACAAGTTCTTCCTTGGAAGAAACCTGAGCACCATATATTGTTTCAACCACCTAGGGCTGGCAGCCATTGTCAGAAACAACATGATGTTGAAATGTCAGCGCCTCATCCAGCTATGGTGACTTGTTGTAGAAGTAATGCCTATACCAGCATCTCTGTCATCATAAATATGAAACAACTTTCAGTAGCAAATATGTACTACAAAATAATGCTGTTTATGTCACTATAAAGGCATGGACTAGACAAGAACAATATAATATAATACAGCAGCATTTGCTTTTGGAATTAAAGAACTAAGGTATGCTTCACATTTGAAGATGCTGAAAGTGTAGGTAATCACGTGACATGTTTCATATTATCTAAAACAAAATTAGTAACCTAGGTTTAGATGAGCTACCATTTAATATCACTTTTCCAAAAAAAGTATTCTATAATTGAACAGCCTTGAGAAAATCGAATGAGGCAATCAATTATATTTGGTTATACATTGCATTTATGCCATTTGACATCTCCTTTGCAAAACAAATTTCCCTATGCCAGCTGTAATTAGGTGCTGAGATGAAGCTGCCTCACTAGTCTGCATATTTGATGAGGCCAGCCAGCAGCTGTCGGATCACTGGCTCTGTTCTCATGGACAATGGAAACATCAAAGACATCTGTGGTTTGCCCTAAAATTAGTGCCAGAGTTGGCCCTCTCTCCTCCATTGTGCAGCCAGATTTGCTATTTGCATAAGTTACAAGGGAACCTGAACACATAGTTGCTGAGCCCAACTATCTTCCCACCAAAAGACCTTGGACGGTGGCAGAAAAGGACTGTCTACCATAAATCTCTCATGCATGAGTGGAAGCCAGCAACTTGGTACTCAGTCCCCGATTTTTACTGTTTATAACTTTTAAATTCCCAAAGTGGGGGCAAAATAATATTTATTTCATTGTGTTTTGCTATTTTTCCCTGGGACCAAATTGGACCCTTTGTACTAAGCAACACACTATGAATGACTGAGTCAAATCTTTGGCCCCCATAGAGTTTGTTTTTTTTTTTAAGAAAAATTAAGATATTGTTTGTAAAGCACCTACATGTGCTCAGGACCTAGGCAACACTCACTAAATGTCAGCCATCCTCATAGCTTCATCTAGTGGCCTTTTTGAGAGCTATTAACTGCAATGTATTTAGAACATTCGTTTATTGGGCTATGTAGCTCAGCTGATAAAGTGCTTGTCCAATATTCGTGAAGCCCTGGGCTCAGTTCCCAGTGCTTCATAAAGCTAGGCATGGTGGTGCATGTCTGTCATCATTTGGGAGATGGAGGCAGGAGGACCAGAAGCTCAAAGTTGAGCAGGGAAGTTGGTTCAGTAGGTAAGAACGCTGAATACACAAGCATAAGGACTTGAGTCCAAATCTGGGGCACCCATGTGAGCCTGTAACTCCAGCATTGGGGGGTCAGGGGCAGAGATAGGTAGATTCCAACAGGTTGCTGGTCAACTACATTAGTAGAAACAGAGAGCTTCAGATTTGGTGAGAGGCCCTGTCTTCAGGGAATACTGTGGGTAATGATAGAGAAAGACATTTAACACTGGATTCTGTGAGCATGAACATAACACACACACATACACACACACACACACACACACACACACACGCTCACTCACATACATGCTCATACACATTCACATTCACACACACAGTACATATTTACACATACACACATGGCTAGTAATAAATTTTAAAAAGAAGTTCAGGGTCATCTTCAGCTACCTAGTATGTTGAGGACAAACTGTAATAGTCTATCTCATAAAAAACTTTCATTGACACCATGTGGCGGTAGCAAATGCCTTTAATCCCAGCACCCAGGAGGCATAGACAGACAGATCTCTGAGTTCAAGGTCAGCCTGATCTACAGAGTGAGTTCCAAGACAGCCAGGGCTACACAGAGAAACCCTCTCGAAAAGCCAAAACAAAACAAAACAAAAAAATTCATTCACTGAGAAAGCAAAGAATAATATTCCTTTATCCTACTGTTTACAATTCTGTGACAGGTTTCAAACCTTTATGTCGGTTTTAAACCATGTGCTCACTATTGAGTCATACTAACAGCAACTTACAGGAATTCTTCTGAAAGTACCAGTTGTTTGACCTTTAACCGCAGATCCTGGGAAGCTCGACCAGACTACCTTCAACAGCAGACATGTATTAGCTCACATAAGAAGTCGGCTGCAGCTGGTGACTCAGAAATCAAGAACAGGTACTTCCCAGATCTGCACACTTGGTTTTCAGGCCAGGTCTTACATGGTCACATGATGGCTAGCTCGCCCAATGCAACCTGCAGCAAACGGCAGGGCCAGTTCTGCTCTCAGGTCCCCAGATCCAGGCCACTCACACTCACACTGCCAGGGCCAGTTCTACTGTTTTGCCCTGGTGAGGCACAGGACCCTCTCTCCTGACTGCTGCAGGGGGGGTCGGCTCCAGTGTGCTGCCCAGTCAGGGTTCAGGGCAGGCTCTCCTGTGCACTGCAGCTGGTGAGGGGCAAGATTAACCCTCTTTCTCTCGTGACCCTAGTGCAAGCTCTCTCTCTCACCTGCTGTGGGTGGCAATGGGTGAGCAGGGGAGGGTATCTTTCTCTCACCCATGCCACCATATGGCAGGTAAGGGAGGCAGGGTCAGCTCTCCTGCTCTCGTGCCCTTAGAGCAGGTTCACGGGTGTCCACGACAACAGGTTCAGCGCTAGTGTGCTGCCCGGGTAAGTTGCACATCCATGGTGAAGGGTAGGGCCATCTTTCACGAGTGTGTGGGGGGGGGTGCAGCTCTTCCTTGAGAGGCACAGCCAGCTCTCCTGTGGTAGTATCCAGTGAGGGGTAGGGCCATCCATTCCAGGGCCAGCAAAGGGAGGGGCTGGCTCAGCACAGCCCTTGGATTTCCACAGATGTAGTTCCTATGAACCCCCCCCCACACACACCCCACCCCGTGCTAACACAGGCCATGCACATCATCACAGACCCTAGCTGCAGTTAGGACCATGGACCCAGACAAGGCCCTCAGTAGCAGGTCGGGTGAATATCACCATGGCCACCGTGGCAGCACAGGTCACCCAGATCAGTATGGCCCCATTGGCAGCATAGCTCTCGGACACCAACCAAGTCCCAGGTGGCTGACCAGACCCTGGGCATTTGTAGAGTTCTCGGTGGGACAATAAGAGTCATGGGCATCACCCCAGACCCTGGCCTCTGCAGAGTCACAGACTCAGACATGGCCCTATGCAGCGACCTGGGCCAGGACGTCTCCAAGACCCCAGGTTGTAGCACAGGCCACCCAGATCAGCATGGCCCCACAGCTGCATGCCCCTCGGACACCAAGATGGTCTCAGGTGGCTGACCAGACCCCCAGTCATCCGCATGGCTCTCAGTGGTAATAGGAGCCATGGACATCTTCTTAGACCCTAACCCCCAGCAGCAGCCATGACCTGGACTACCCTGGGTGAGAGCATAGGCTGCTTCAAACAGCATTGGCCCAGGCAGCAGCACGGCCCTCACATCTCGCCACAAGCTGCAGCCCAGACTCCAGGGATCCGTGTGGTCTCTGGAAGCCTCTTGGGCCACAGACATCAACACAGATTCCGGATGTGGTAGGACCATGGACTCAGACACGGTCCAAGGCAGCAGGCCGGACTCAGATGTCACCATGGTCCCAAATGGCAGTGCAGGCCACCTGGATTGTCACGGCCCCTGCTACATCGCAACCCCACGGCACCAACATGACAGCCTAGACTACAAATCTCTGCAGGGCCCTCAGTAGTGACAGGAGCCTCAGATGGGCTGCTTCAGAGCCCTGAAAAAAGACTTGGCGTTTGGCAACAGCCCAGGCCCGGACATCATTCTGGACTCGGTGGCAAGCAAGCCATTCACTTCAGCTCCCCTACCCCGCCCCTCACCTCTTCAGATATGCCTCTCTCCTCAACCTATGAACACACCATGTAGTCCTCTCTTCCACTTCCCCACCCTGCACTCGCTCACCATAATGGTCCCTTGACATCTGACGGGCTCCTGGTTGAGTCACAGGTAGCACTTGGTTTAGTTCTGCCTGGCCTGGCTGTGATGCATGGTGCTGAGATACTACTTTTCATCTCTCACGTTCCAGGTCCCAGAAACCACAGGTTTGGTATGTTGGTAACTGACCGCCTAGCGCCTCGCGCTCCAGACCACGAGGTGTTGAGGGGAGGCATCTCTGTCTTCCGCTGCTCAGAAGAAACCTGCCCAAGAAGCCCACCAGCCTGTATTTTCTCAAGAATCGGTATCCAGAGTAGAATCCATTGCGTGAACCAATCAATTGCCCTGAAAGCAGACTCACGGGTGGCTTAGTGAAGGACACAGCTCTGCAAAAGGGGATGATGGCTCTCCAGCAGAGCTGCTGTCTCACATGCAAAACGGCAGGTGGGACACGCTCACCCACAGCATCTGTGTAGTTAAACACAGCTACTTTTTTCATTGAAAACAGAAAGCCTGGTTTTCTCCAGCCTTCCGAAAACTACTGCATCAATATTTATAGGGGAAAACTGTATGTATTTATAATAAAATAAATGAATAAACTTCCAAAATCCCAGGGCTAATATTTAGTTGCATGCATTAGTATGGCATGCTGATGGGTGTTTGTTCTAGAGGGGCACATGTGTTATCCTCGCCACTAAATAATGTCATCATCACTTCTGCACAAACCTATCATCCTGCATGTTCCCTTAGAACAAGTACCTGATTGGCCTTGCTTGACACTATATATTCTGTTGAACAATTGCCAGCAGTAAGTAAGGATTCAATGAATATTTATTGAGTAAATTAATGGAAACATTGTAGAAAAATGATAAGATATCAGGAGTCCTGCAGCAGGACGCCTGCCCCACAGTCTTCATCACATAGAGGGCTGGACTGAATAATGACCCTTTCTAGCCTCTGAATTAAACACTTTTTGTTTTGTTTTGGGTTTCTAGACCTTGCCAAGGCAAGCAGGTAGAAAGGATTTCCCCCTCAGACTTCTTTATATGTGAGGCTATTATAAAAGGTGCCTTCAAAATTCAGCGTGGGCCTCCATGGGGGCCATGTTGATGATCTCTAGACCCTGTCTGTCTTTTTCACCTCCAATACTTCTCGAATTAACATTGCTCAAACTCCCAGCCAGGCATCTTGTTCTAGAGTTCTTGATTAGGTCAAGTTTCTGGCCTCTAAATTGGACTTGATTTTCAATCTCTTTTTCTCTTCTTCTTCAGTAGATTTCATCTGGAAACACTGGATTTTCCTTTCCTATAAGAGTCATGGTACATGACGTCCCCAGACCACCCTAGCAATTCCTAAGTCAGATATTTTCCACCAGCCCTCAACTTAGACTCTATATCTAACTTTCTAATAAATCATTCTATTTTGAACCATATGTTAGAATTTCTAGGTTGTAATTAAAATTGTGTATGAATATATATATATGAAGAGATGTGATATATAATCTTTAAAATTAAGAGGATGGTGACTTATGCTCTCCTCACTTACAATATAAATCTATGACTATCTCCAAATTCCTAAAATTTTCTGAAATTAACTGGGGTTTTGCTTTGTTTTGCAGTAGTACTCTGGCTCATTCTCCCTGAAACAAAGAGGATAAGCCAGGGACCAATCACATCTCCTTTCAGTCCATGACTCAGACACAGCTATTGCCTCACAGCCTTCTGGAAATCAGATGTCAAGCGGTGAACTGAAGCTCCCTCTGCCTTTGCTTTAGCAGACACGTATTCCATTGTCTTCCCTTCCCACTCAGGAGCAGGCTTTAGCTACTCATTAATTTTGAGGGGGTTTCCTAAGAGATGCAAGAAAAGATTTCCTGGTGATGCAGGCTGACAGCTATGGAAGCACTAACAAGGGACGCCATAAAATCCATTCCTTGGGAGTCTTTATGAAGAGCAAAGCCAAACGAGTCTTGCTGAAATGTAACAGGAGTACATAGGAGACTTGAAAGGGGTGATGTGTCACATAATTCAATTATTTTATAGCAGCAGATGGGATATTAATTTAAAATAAGAAGCAACATTCAATTAGCAACAGAGTTGGTGATTCCCAAATTCCACAGGTCTTTTAACTGTGAATTTAAGGAAACTACACCCTTGCCTTCTTGTGCAGCCTGAGTTTGGGTTCTGTGTTCATTGTGACATAAGCAGCATGCTGCGATTTCTACTCAATATCAGAATACACTGCCTGTAGGGACTCAGATATCTTATTAACTCCGCCCCTTGATAACCAGGCACGCCCAGTGACACGGCTACATCACCACTACGTCACTCGTGCGGGACTCAATGCGCATGTGCCTCATCCCCTTTATAAATCATCTGAACCCCCCCCTCTGTCTCTGCTCTGTACGGGTTGGTTACCTCTCACCCCCGTTTCCCTCCCCGTCCACCAAAAAACTCCACGTGGGCTCGTTGAGTCGCGGTTTGTTTCTCCTTACTGGATAAACCTAAACGTTTTAACAACACTGCCTTCCTTGTCCCGTGTAGTTCTGCCATTTGAAACCACATGAAGGTTTTCTGATGTGGGTAGACTGTGGGATGTGTTTTTGTTTTTGTTTTATTGCCCAAGTTCTCCTCTGTTCACTCCCTCTATTTCTCTTATATAGAAAGAGAGTGAGTAATGAGCATTTGTTGCCTAAGTCTCTTATTGGATGAAAGTTGAGTTCAGCTTTGGCACCAACACAATCAAGTCCCATACTTGGCTTCTCCATACAATTGACTATAACAATTTCATACTCCAACCAACTTTGTCATCCTAACCTGTGAGTTCAGATCCTTTTTCATTTCTAGGTTCTGCACCTTTGTTTGTGACAACCCTATCATGACATGATCAATTATCCATGGTGAAAATATACCATGCTTCTTTTAGGAAGTTTATTTAAAGTTCTAGATTAGTAGGGTGTGGTTAATAGAAGTTTCAAACAACTGAAGTTTTTCACTTGGTAACTGCTGAGACAAACCAAGTGAAGCCTCCCATGCTATATTCCACAGTCATCTCCTTCCCTGGTCCCTTAAGCAGACAGACCTCTGTGCAGTGACGCAATAGATATAATTTTACTTACTGCAGACTAAAGATTTCTGTTTTAAGGCTCATAGTAACACAGTGTGCATTTATTAGGTACTGAGTTTATGCTACAATATTCACGTACTTTTTTTGAACTATCTCATCTAAGTCTCATAAGACTACCACAATATAGTGGTACCATTATCCCAAAGTACAAGAAGGAAAGAGGAACATAGACATGGAGTGACTTACTCAAAGCCACCATGAAGGGACGACTAGATGCTCGATCTGTACCTGAGCATTTACTTTACTACTCACAGACTCTTGCTGCTCTCAGGCTCAGCTAGAGGAACAATTTTCTCTGCAATAGGGAAGCAGCTAATGTATTGACTCAGTGTCAAAATACTGAGAGTAAGTGACTGTTTCTGCTCAGCAAAAATGAGACATTTGCAACAATAATGCCCTTCTCCCCGCCAAGGCTCAGGGAACACCACAGAAGAGAGGGCAGAAAGAATGCGAGTGCCAGAGGATGGGAGGAGGAGGCATGAACTCACTGCAGCTATGGTTACCTGCATGAGACTTGTTCAAGATCAGGCTAACAAGATCTGTCAGTGTTCCAGCACACATTACTAACTGAACTCAGTAGGTTATATGGGAAAAAATAGAAAGGACATAAAAATGGGAGGAGGACATGTTGGGGGTAACGTGGAGTGATACATGGGAATAGAGGATGGGTGTGATCGAGATACATTGTATACATGTGTTAAGTTGTCAGAGATGTTATAAAAATTATTAAATAAATCCAATAAATAAAAGATAAGTCTAAAAGTGAAAAAAGATTTCTCGTAAGCAATTTAGTAAATCAGATATTTAAATTTGGATAATTTTAAGCTCAGAATGCAAACAATTTATCAAAGTGATACTAAGCAATATTTAGTTATTGGACTTTTTCTGAAATATAACCTTCTATTAAGCTGCAGGGCTGCCATATAGCTCAGCTGGTAGAGTGCTTAACTCGCATATATGAAGCCTTGGGTCTGCTCCCCAGTACTGCACAAAAACCAGGTATGCCAGTGCATGTCTATAGTCCCCGACACTGGGATGCAGAGGAGGAAGGTCAGTAGTTTCATGTTGTCCTGGCCTCCACAGCAAGTTCAAAATCAGTCTGGGAATGTATAAGACCCTTGCCCCCAAAAATATTTTAGAGAATACTAAAACATAGGTTTTGATTAACCAGTTCCTTGTTTTCATATCTCTCTAAGGTCATAAATGTGTATCTACAGACTGAAGGATCACAGTCACCCTTGCTAGAATGACCCAGGCTACTGGATGGAGCATGGTTCATCTTCCAAGAGTAAGGCAGTAAACACTAAACTAGGTCAGATTTTATCTTCACGTCAGCATTCCCTAAGCCTATGACCTTCCCAATCAAATGACTATGTGAGTTTCTTTTTCTCATAATCATGTGACTTTCCAAAATACTCATTTTAAAAGAAATGTTGGGGACTTTCCAGGACACCAGGTTTTGATTCTCTTTCAAACTATAGACTGTCTCATTTAGTCCTGGATAATACTGGCATTTTGGATCTATTACGGCATCCAGGCTTCAATTCCCTCTGCACATTTTTTTGTCTTCATCATCAAACACCATTTTATGGTTACATTTCCTCTTTTCCTGACATCATGAAGATGACCCAAATACCCCTAGTGCCTACTTGAGACTAAACAGTCTGGCCATTTTGCAAAGGGGTGTCTCAAATACTGTCTGCAACATGTACAGCAATGTATCCTTGTATTTGATTTCTTTCTCTCTCTACCACTTGACCTCATGCAATTGATACCCATTCCCATTCTGTCCACTTTCAGCACATTCAACATGATCTATGGCAGTCTTCACACCATGATGTCAGGGCTGTACCACACTTAAGTTCCCCAAAGATCTCCCACAACAAAAATGAAAATGTAACATATCAACTCTAGACATACATACTATGGTTTTCTATAACATATCAACATATATATGTTATGGTTTTTGTGGCAGCGGTAGTTGGAGAGGGGGGTCTACTGCTAGTAACCCAGAGGAAAGATTATCAAACAAGAACACATATGCTATAGCTGTTCAAACGTGAAGTGTGCCCCATGTGCTGATGTGCTTGAGCAGCTGAACTCCAGGTAGTGGTACTGTTTTGAAAGGTTATTGAAATAGAAGGGTGGAGCCTTGCTGGAGGAGGTGAGGCACTGGGGGAAGGCATTAAGGTTTACAACCCAGCTCCATGTCCTTTCTGGCTACTTCCTGACTGCAGATGCAACATGACAATCCCCAGTCCCATGCTTTCCCTGCCATGATGGACTGTATTGCTGTGAACAGTAAGTCAAAATAAACCCTTCATGCCTTAAGTGGTTTTTGTAAGCTGTTTGGTCACAGTTTCGAGACAAATACCTTCACATGCTGTCTCCACAAGAACAAGGGAGAAAAGAATAAGTATTGGATT